CTTTCTTTCTTTCTTTCTTTCTTTCTTTCTTTCTTTCTTTCTTTCTTTCTTTCTTTCTTTCTTTCTTTCTTTCTTTCTTTCTTTCTTTCTTTCTTTCTTCTTGTTTATTTGTTGCCAATGTTTTATGAATTGCGTTGCTTTGTCCCTCAGGTGATCTCTTCAGTGCCCTGGAGTTTCCATTCCTGTATTTTTACAGATTCCACACCAGCTGCTGTGCCAGGTAATCTTTAAGAATGCCCCTCTCACTTCTCGCCCCCAAATTCTACTACTACTTCTGCAAGAACTGGCATTTAGATTGCATTTTAAATTTGGGGAAACACTCTATATCCATTATCTCATTTGAGCTCCATTTTGTAGAGGAATAAATGGAATATTAGAGAAGTTAAGTGACTTGCCCATGGTCCCATAGCTTGCAAGTGTTTGAGGTAGTCTTTGAACCCCTGGCCTTCCAGACTCTGATCCAGCACTCTACCGCCTATGTTACCTGGATTTCACTGGGTAACTCTTGAGTCTCTGTTGAAAAAAAACCTATACAGTCCGTTAATTCCATGAATTGCAGAGGCTGTGTTAGGTATGAGGGAGAAGCAAAGATCACCCAGTCATACAACTGGCCTTTATGAAATTTCTCCTCTGTGATCAGCACTGTGCTAGGTGCTTTGGGATCAGGGTAAGGGGAGACAGAAGTTGCATCAGATGCAATCTCTATTCTCAAGGATTTTACAATCTAGTGGGTGATGCAGAACAGGAGACAAATTCAGAGACCATTTATTATTTAACTTTAGAATTAAATCAGAGACTTAAATTAGAGTGTCACAGTTTATAGACTCTTTGTGCTCACCACTTAACACCTGACCTTGACTCATGGCGTACTAGAATTACAGAGCTGGAAGTTCACTTAATCCAACTGCTTTGTTTTATAGGTGAGGACACTGAGCTCCAGAGGAGTGAAGGGGCATATTTAAGGTCATCCAACTGGTTGGTAGTAGGAGTTAGAACTAGAATTCAAATTTGCTAGCTTCTGCTTTGTTGTTGTTCAGTTGTGTCTGACTCCTTGACCCCATTTGGGTCTTTTTTTGGCAAAGATACTGGAGTGGTTTGCCATTTCCTTCTCCAGCTCATTTTACAGATGAGGAAAGTGAGGCAAAGAAGGTTAAGTGACTTGCCCAGGGTCACACAGCTTGTAAGTATCTAACCCCCTCATTGTACAGAAGAGGAAATTGATGCCTAGAGAGTTTAAGTGGTTAGCCCAAGGTCACATAGGTAGTAAGTAGCACAACTGAGATTTAAACTTAGGTTATAGACTTAGAGTTGGGGACTTTAGAAATCATCAGCCCCAAATTCCTTCATTTTACAGGTGAGGAAACTGAGACCCAGAGAAGTTAGGTGGATTTAAATCCAGGTCCGCTGAGTTTCAATCTAGTACTCTCTCCAGTGCACCTCTGACTCTAAATCTATGTCTTCCTCATTTCTATACTGCCTCTTTCCTCTGCACCATACTTGCTTTAAAGAGGTGGGGGTGGTGTGTCTTATTGTTGGTACACCCTTTAATATGGAAAGAGGTTCCCATCGCTGTAGGTACTCTTCACCACTTTGGGGGGAAATCCTGCAAAAAAAAAAAAGTCCCAATTAACAACGTAATGGGAAGATACTGGATTTGGAGACTGAGGACCTGAGTCCCAGGACTAGCCTCAACCAATTGCTGGCTGTGTGACTTTGGACAAAGTAATTTTCCCTTTCCAAGCCTTAGTTATATCATTTGTAAAATAAAGAGGTTGTCCTCTAAGGCAATTTACTAGCTGTGTGACCCTGGGCAAGTCATTTCATCCTCTATGCCTCAGTTTCCTCATCTGTAAAATGAGCTGGAGAAGGAAATGGCATACCACTCCAGTATCTGCCAAGAAGACCCCAAACGGGGTCACAAAGAGTCAGACGTGACTGACTGAACATCAAGCAAGATCCTTTCCAGATCTAACTTGATGACGTCATAAGCCTCAAAGTTCATCCCATTTTTTTAACCCAGCAAGTCATGAATAGCTCCTAGGTAGAACTGTCATTCAAGCAAAGGCTTGAATGTACCTTGTTGAGGTTCTTTTGTGTGCTTGAGCCTTTAGCCCACTCTGAAATCCCTACTTACAGATTTTTGGAAAGCCTGGCTAGAGTACGTCTTCCAGCAACTATGAACTTGGATTATTTCTTATTCAGCTTACTCTTAGTTATGATTATAAAACAGAATTCTTTAGTGCCACACTTGTGCGTGTGATTTTGTTTTCCTGGAGGGATTATTATTTGGCAGAATTACTGGCAAGACAAAGAAGGGAATGTCAAGCTGATATTTCATTATTTTGAGCAGAGACCCAATTTGTGGCCCATTAGTGGTACCTTGCTCTGTGGGACGACGTCTTTGCTTTGGTTTAGTTCTGTTTAATCTGCTACTCCCTGCAACCTGACATACAAACTGACTTTTTAAATTTTAACAGGAAGAGAAGTCTGTCTTCTTCATTTACCCCCTCGTGAGAGTACAAAGGTTTTCCTGGTGTAAGAATAGGGTTCTTTTCTCCAAGCCATGTTACAGATCTTCCTGATTGTAAGCTAAATCCTTAGAGAGGGTGCGTCATATACCATTCATAATCCCATCGCAGGTGAATCCCAGAGTTGTTCCAAGAGGGTCCTGGAAATTCCCCCTGCTCTGTCCTCCTCCCATCCTTTAAAATCTACTGCTACTACAAGAGGGAGGGGAGGTATGTTTGTAAAGGATGAGTTTGGTGTTGATCCATAAAGAATTCAGAAGTACTTTACAGAAGTATTAAATTAACCTGAAGTAGTGAATGCACTTTCTATGAATGTTTATTTAAAGGTCAGTAGTAGTAGCTTAAGCAGCTGGGTGGTGCAGTGGCTAGAGTAGAGGGCCTGAAGCCAGGAAGGCTTAGCTTCCTAAGTTCAAATCTAGCCTCAGACACTTACTAGCTATGTGACCCTGGGCAAGTCACTTAACCCTGTTTACCTCAGTTTCCTCATCTGTAAAATGAGCTGGAGAGGGAAAGGGCAAACCGCTCTAGTAACCTTGCCAAGAAAACCCTAAATGGGGTCACAAAGAGTCAGAAACAACTGAAAACAACTGAACAAAAGCAACTCGATCAATTTTTGCCTAGTCTTTGTATCCTCAGCATTTAACATTGTTTCTGGAACATATTGGGGGTTTAAAAATCCTAGTTGTCTTGATTTCTGTGACCCTAGGCAATCTAGAATCTAACTCTATGATGGGGAAAGTTAAATTAAAAACCACTGAAACAACTGAAGCGGGGTTATTCCTTACTTTTCTCTCCCAGTCTTCCTTTCAAGCTCTCTCATGAGGGAATCTGGCTTATCTCAGATCTAACCTCACTGAATTTTCATGATGGAGTAGAAAAAGTATTGAATTGGGAATCAAAAGCCAGGATTTCCAGTGCTAGCTGTCTTACTTATTACCTCTGTCACTGTGGGGAAGTGACTTCAGGTCTTTTGGACTCAGTTTCCTTATTTCTTCATTTACAATAATAATAATAATAATTATCATTATTAACATTTATCCAGTATTTTAAGATTTAAAATTTATGTTGGGTTCTTTGAAGCCTCTCATGAGGTAGGTAGTGCAGGCATCATTATCTGCCTCTTACAGAGGAGGAAACTGAGGCTCAGAGAGGTCACATAGCTAGTGTCAGAGCCAAGACTTATATGCCTCTCAGTACCAAGTACCAGCGATCTTCTGTGTCACACTATCCCTGATCTGTAACATTAAGTGGTTGGCCTTAAATGATCTCTAAGCCCCTCCTCAGCTTTTCTAAAAGTCTGTTACTCATTCCTGCGAATGAAAAAAAAAGAAGTACTCTCTTAAAAAAATTTTTTTAATAATAGACTTTATTTTAACACTCATTTTTAAAAAATTTGAGTTCCAAATTCTTCTATTCCCACTAGCCCCACCCCCACCCATTGAGAAGGCAAGCCGTGTGATATCAATTATATTTGTGGAGTCATGCAAAATATTTCCATATTAAAAGCAAGTACTCTCCTTCCCATTTTATAGAAGGGGAAATTGAAGAAGGTTAGCAGCATTGCCAGGGAATAGAATTCTAGGCCACCTGACTTCCAGAACACTGACTTCTTGTGGAACTACTCTGCCTTTCTGTTGTAAGTGACTGAATGATTTAAGCTTCCATGGCTAAACTCCCCTAGTTGTGAAGCTGATTCCCATCACCATGTCCTAGGCACACTTGGTTATAAACAAAAGGAGCCAAGCAGCTGGTTCTGAAGGAAGACCTTTGTATACAGCTTCTTTCATTTAGGGATTTCCTGGAGAAAGATCTTAATGCATTGTAAGTACAGTTGCTAGTACCTCAAAAAGGAAAATTTGCTCCCCTTGTCAAGTAGCATATTCTCAGCATAGTCTAGTATCTAATGATGATGATGATGATAATAGCTAACATTTATATGGGCAGCTAGATGGCGCAGTGGATAGAGCACTGGGCCTGGAGTCAGGAAGATTCATCTTCCTGAGTTCAAATCTGGCCTCGGACATTTACTAGCTATGTGACCCTAGGCGAGTCACTTAACCTCTGTTTGCCTCAGTTTCCTTATCTGTAAAATGAGCTGGAGAAGAAAATGGCAAACCACTCCAATATCTCTGCCAAGAAAACCCCAAATGGGGTCATGAAGAGTTGGACAGGACTGAACAACATCAATAGCAAATGATAGATTGTAGGCCCTTGGATGTGGAGACAAAAACAAAACAGTCTTTGCCCTCAAGTAGCTTACATTCTCATTTAAGCCTGATACCATACATTTGGCCTCCATATTACTATCCAGACAAACTAAGCCATTTGACATCTGCCATGTAGACCCTTTCTTTATTTTCCTTTCTTTGTACTTCATTCTTCTTATGCCTGGAATATCCTTTCCCACTCAAGACCCTTTACTTCCCTCTTCCCACTTTTTGTATTCTTACCAATCTTTTAAACTCCAACTCAATTGTTGTTCCCTCCTTCATGAAGCCTTTTCCCATCTACCAGTTGGTCATGACCTTTTCCCTTCTCTAATGAGGTGATTGTGTATTAGTTATTTATGTCAGAGGCAACATGGTGTACAACATGGATAGAGAGCCAGCCTCTTCAGAATCAGGAAGAAGGCCTGGGTTCAAGTCCTACCTGTGATACATAGTGTCTAGGTGAACCTGGGCAAATTGCTTAACATCTCTTGCCTCAGGTAACTTTCTAAAACCAGGTACCAATTTATAGTGCAGAAGTACTTTCATAGTACAGGGGGAAAAGCCCTATATTTGGAGAGTACCTGAGTTTAAATCTTAGCTTTGCCACTTAATGCCAATGTGACCTTGAATAAATCATGTAACTTTTCTGAAGCTCAGGTTCACATCTGGAAAGTGACTTCTGTTCCAGCTCTAAATTTTTGTTCCTGCATGTTCTTAATAGGAGTTTCTATATTAATGAACCTGAAGGTCCAAAGCCAGTTCCTATAGTTCTCTGTGTGTCTCTTTACCCTGTAAGATCCAAATCGTGGTGGGACTCTGTCTTATCTAAATTTTCTATTTCTTCCAATGCCTAATATGGTGCCTTGCATACAGTAGTTGCTGAACAGTGCTTGAATTGAATAATTATGAGATTGGAAAACAAAGTGTAGATAAAAGTTGTTTCCGTGAAATCATAGTGAATATAAGAGAAACCCAAAAAATCGTTTTGAATGCTTTGAAGAATGCTGGTTCATTAATAAAACATTTTTTCTGTTTTCCCCATCCAGTGGATTCTTGGGATTCTTTTTGATGTTAAATTCAGTGAAGCTAAAAAACAACATGGCTCCAGCACAGCACACAGCCTGGATTTTCTTTGCCAAGGTAAGAGAGGGGTAGGGTGGAAACATCTCACTGATTACACAGTGCCTGGCCCCTAGCAAGTCTTATTAGTGCCTGTTACCATTAGCTGTCTTGGGAACTTCTGGGTCTTCATGCTGTCCCATTGTCTATACTGGTCTGATCCTCCTAGGTGTGTGTAAACATAGAGGGGTAACGTCAGTTCAATGTCCATGAACCCAGCCCTGCAGATCTGATTCATACAGAACTCACAGGTGTTTAACCCATCTTTTATGATCATTCTACAAAGAATCACAATATTATTCTTACCTTCCGTGGTAGGATTATAAAGGAGGCACTAACCTTATGTGATCTCATTAAGTGGACTTGAAAAGTCTCAGGTAATTGGAGAACGACAAGGTTATAGGCCATTAAAAAATAGCCTGGATGGGATGTTCCACCACAGGCCCTAGATTAATGGTAGGAAGGGATGACAAAAACTATTTCTAAAGTCCATAGTTAAAGAATCAAGAGAAAGAGAGGCGAGTAGTTTAAGAAGAAAGAAAAGTATCATTTAGGAAAAAGAGCACTGCGTATGGAGTCAGAGGATCCAAGTTTTAAGATCTTGGGTTTGTTACTTAACCTCTGGGCTTCAGGCTTCTGATTTTTATAATGAAAGAATTGGACCAGATAATCTTTAAGGTGACTTCCAGCTCTAAATCATGTGTTGTTCAGTTGTTTTTTTAGTCATGTCTGACTCTTCATGACCCCATTTGGGGTTTTCTTGGCATAAACACTGGAGCAATTTGCCATTTCCTTCTCCAGCTCATTTTTTTTTTTACAGATGAGGAAATTGAGGCAAACAGGGTTAAGTGGCAGAGTTACATAGATAGTTAAGTGTCTGAGGCCAGATTTGAATTCAGAAAGATGAATCCTCCTGACTCCAGGCCTGGCACTCTTATCCACTCCACCATCTCGCTGTCCTAAATCATATACAAAAAGGAAATACCATGTCAGACAAAGTGGAGAGAACATCTTTGGAATTTACTTCCTCAACCCAAGATTGTTACATTTTTTCCTCTGAAGAATATGTCATTCCTCTTTTCTTTGTGCCCTTTGAATGGAAACTCCGCAGGGATATTTTTGGTTCAAGTTCTTCCCGTTTTAATGATATTACTCCAATGATAACACAGGCCAAAGTCATAGTAATTAAATCTTATGTTTCAGGGCAGCTTTTCTTGTACATGAAGCTTTATTTAGCAAGCCAAGTACTCTAAGAGTCTCTGTTCTCCCTTGTTAAATTCTGGAATGGAGTTACTGAAGGAAGTCTGAGAGTTTCTTCTTCTATAACTAATTACACATAGTGTGGATTTTTAATTGGCTGGATGGTTTGGATTGGGATTCTTCCTGGAAAGAGGGGTTGGTCTAGGGCTAGGCAAACAATTAAGCCACTTCCCAGCTTTAGCATTGTATGAATTTGGCTTTTATGCTATACCAAAGTGAAGAAGAATTAAGAAGCCTCTTGATGAGGGTGAAAAAGGAAAGTGTAAAAGCTGGCTTGAAGCTTGACATCAAAAAAACCATGATCATAGCTACTAGTCCCATCACTTCCTGGCAAATACAGGGAGAAGAAATGGAAGCAATGTCAGTTATAGTCTTGGGTTCAAAGATCACTGCAGATGGCATCTGCAGCCATGAAATTAAAAGACTCTCGTTCCTTGGAAGAAAAGCTCTGGCAAATCTAGACAGCATACTAAAAAGCAGAGACATCACTTTGCTGACAAAGGTCTGTATAGTCAAAGCTATGGTTTTTCCAGTAGTAATGTATGGCTATGAGAGTTGGACTATAAGGAAAGCTGAGTGTCGCAGAGTTGACCCTTTTGAGTTGTGCTTGGACAACAAGGAGATCGAATTAGTCACTAGTTAAAGAATTAATTCAGACTATTCCTTAGAAGGTCAGACACTGAAGAGGAAGCTTAAATACTTTGACCACACAAGGAGAAGACAGGACTCATTGGAAAAGACCCTGATGTTGGGAAAAGTTGAAGGCAAAAGGAATAGGGGACAGCAGAGGATGAGATGGTTAGATAGTATCATGGAAACAGTGAACGTGAACTTGGACGAACTCCGAGAGATAGTGGAAGATAGAAGGGCCTCGTGGGCTATGGCCATGTAGAGTCGGACATAACTGAACGGTTGAACAACAACACCGATGCTGCATCAAAGCTCCACTTAGTTGAGGCTATGTTGGACCCTTTTTGGCAGAATATGCATTTTTCTTCTGGGGTGACCTTCTGTTATTCTTATCTTGGTAAATATTGCCAAACACAAGCATTTCCATAGTCAAAGAAGAACAGAAAAAGAGGACTGCAGTATAAAACACTACATCTCCATTACTGCCTACTACTTGTAATTCTCTTCTAAGTTACATAATAAATTGCACATGTTAGTTTCAAAGCTGTTCTAAATATTTGTATCTCCTTCTTAACCTTCTGTTCTCTTCTTTTTACTTAAAAACATTACAAAAACCCTCTTTTCCTTTTTGTGGGGCATCAGTGTCATTATCATTTCCCGTCTCCATCTCCAACCCTAGCTCCCCAGTAAAAAAAACACCTAAAAAACCCACAATTTTTTTTAAACAAAGCATAGTTAAGCAAAACAAAATAAATCTATATGTTGTTTATTCATTCATTCGTGTCTGACTTTTGGTGACCCCCTGGACTATCACATACCCGGCCCTTCTAGCCTCCACTATCTCCTTAAGTTTGTCCAAGCTCATGTTCATTGCTTCCATGACACTATCTGTTCATCTCATCCTCTGCTGTCCTTCTTTCCTTTTGCCTTCAATCTTTCCCAACATCAAGGTCTTTTCCAATGAATCCTGTGATCTACGCATTGGCATTGTCTAAATATGTATGTTAATTTACACCTTAAGTCTTCTGCATCTTTGTTACTGTGGAGTGTGCTTCATAATTGGTTCTCTGGATGCATTATTGGTCATTGCATTGATTAGAGTTTTTAAATTTTCCAAATTTTTTTTTTATAATGTTGTAGTTATTGCATAAATTATTTTCCTGATTCTGTTTACTTTACTCAAGATCAGTTCATGTAAGTCTTTCTGAGTTTTCTGAATCCATGGCCTTTATCATTTATGGCACGGTAATATTCAATTACTTTCATATATCATAATTTGTTTACCCATTTCTCATTTGATGAGTGCCAACTTTGCTTGTGATATGGCTGGGTGACACTGTTGGCCACTTTTTCCTCCTAGATACTCTTTCTAGGTACACTAAGTATAATCTTTCTAGATACAACTCTCTGGGTTGTTGTGACACTACTCTCTCTTGGATCTTCTCCTATCTGTATGACTGTTTCTTCTAAATTTTCCTTTGATGTGTCTTCATCTACTTCATGTCTGCTATGCCCCAAGACTCTGTCGTTGGCCTTCCTCTATTCTCTTTGTAAACTTACTTGATTACTTAATGATCGTGTCTACATGGATGCCTACCTGATGGAGATAGCCAGCTCTAGTCTGTCTTCTGAGCTCCAGTCCCAGATCATGAACTATATTTTAGACATTTGGTTGTCCTTTAGGCATCTTAACTCAAAATATCAAAAATAGACCTCATTACCTTCCCCATGCCCCATAAGAAAACTTGCCCTCTTGTAGACTTTCCAATTACTGTCAAGGGCACCATTGTCCTTCCAAGCACTCAGATTTACAACCTAGGTGTCACCCTCAATTCTTCACTCATACCCACTTTTCTTTAAACTCACCCTGTCTACTGACTGTCTCCTTATTGCTCACAACCATGCCCATGTCTCCCTCATCCTTGGAAAGCTTCGTTTTATCCTTCCATCCCTTCTGTCATTCTCTATCTCTTCTGCCCTTTGTGAATAAGCTTCTTGAGTAAGTCATCTCTACATAACAGATCTACAATACAGTGCCTCCACTTCCTCTCCTCTCACTTTCTTCTTAACTCCCTACAATATGGCTTCCCACCTCATCATTCAACCCAAACTGCTCTATCCAAAGTTGCCAGGAATCTCTTAGTTGCCAAATCCAATGGCCTTTTCTCGATCCTCATTCTCCTTGACCTCTCTTCAGCCTTTGCTGCTGATACTCCCTTCTCTCTAGGTTTTTGGGGTACCCCTCTATTTTGGTTCCAGCTGTCTCATCAGTCCTTTGCAGTTTCTTTTGTCCCACAGGGTTCTGTCCTAGGCCCTTTTCTATGCTACTGCACTTGGTGATCTCATTAGCTCTCATGGACTTAATTATCATCTTTGTGCTGATGATTCTCAAGTCTTTTTATCTAGCCCTCACATCTCCTCTGACCTCTAGTCTTGCATATCCAACTGCCTTTCAGATATCTCAGACTGGATGTCCTATAGACAGATGTCTTAAACTCAGTATATCCAAAACTGAGCTCATTATGTTTCTCTTCCTAATTTTCACCCTTTCCAAACTTCCATTATTACTCTTGAGGGTACTCTACTATCTTTTCAGTACATCCAGACTCAAAACCTAGGTGTTATCCTGACTCCTCCATATCTCTCCCCTTCTCTCCTGCATAACCAATCCATTGCCAACACCTGTTGATTTCACTTTTGAAACAGCTCATGAATATATCCCCTTCTTTCTTCTGATACTACCACCAAGCACAAATCATTTCACACTTGAACTATTGAAATAACCTGCTGGTTGTTCATGTGCCACTGTTCTCCCTGGTCCAGTCCATTCTCTATTTAGCCCCTAAAGTCATTTTCCTAAAGCACTGATATGACTATGTGACCTCCTACTAAATAAACCCAAGTGCTCCCTATTACTTTGAGAATCAAATACAGAATCCTCTGGAGTTCAAAGCCTTTCATAACCAAGCCCCACCCTACTGTTTCCAGTACCTCTTATGTCCCTCCCCCTGCATTCTTCGGTCCAGTGACACTGCCCTCCCACTTGTTCCATATACAAGATACTCCATCTCCCAGCTCTGGAAATTTTCTCTGGCTCTCTCCCATGTCTGGAATGCTTTCCCTCCTCATCT